TTGAAAGCTTAAAACCAAATACTTAAAAATAGGTCATTCCTATTTTGAAAGAAGCCTTTTCAATGGAACTGGTCATTCTGCCAAGCTGTTCACAGCGAATAACCGTCAGATCTCCCAGTTTTCCGTTTGCTACACAGCATTTCAAAACTGTCAGCGCATGGGGAACTCGCCCATTGCTCAGCTCCTTCCCATGCAGACTGCATTTCACTGCAAAATCTCATTTTGTTGACTAATAAATAGAACTGTTCGTGTTTTTCTTGACAAGATGGACGTTCCCAAATGTGTACTTTGATAGCCCGAAGCCCTCCTCTGCACACCCACCTTCATGTCCACAACTCCACAGGAATGTTGTGTGATTGGGCTGAAATCATATGGGGGGATTTTTTTCAATGAACCATCATCTAGTGGACCGAATATTCTTTTGAGGAAAATTTGACTTATCCAATTGATTATATAAATGCCAACCAAATGCCCCCCCGTATGTATTGAGCCAAGACAGCACAGCAGAGCCATCCGGCTCCTCCTGAACCGTACAAACAGAGATAACACACAGGTACAAATCTCTCCAAAGCTCCATGAAAACAGCTCACGGGTTTAGCTCCCACAGTGCTGTTACAATCACGGGTCCCAATGCTTGAAGAGAAAAGGTAAATGTGGCAATATATTTTCAATTATTAGTGAGCAAACCTTGACATTTAAATTTCATTGGGTTTTGATGCTTTATGAAAACTACTGTAAGACAATTTCAAGAATGCTAAAACGTCAAAATCTTCCAGAAGTAATTAGATATTCCTGTTAATTTAAAATAATTCACTAGTCATCTGTATCTGCTCATCTGAATGGAAAAACATTGTAAAAACTGATCAATACTTTCACTCTTCACATTGCAAACAGCACGTGCGGTTCAAATCTTAAATGCCGCTACACTTAGTTAACAGAATCACCAACATTGTTCGATTTTGTTTTTACCATCAAATGTAGAAAGGCTTCTTCCAGAGCAAGGAGAATTTATTAGTCATTCAAGCAAACACATGCACTCTAACTAAGGCGATTTCAGAGGAAGGGTCGGTCAGTCTACACACGCCCAGTGGCCACGCTGCAGACCTGGGCACCTGTATCCACAGAAAACTCTACGATGGCATCCTAACATTTCATGGAAAGATCCCAAAGCCACTTGCTCTAAGTGAGCACCTCCTGTGGAGTTAAGGAATGACAGAAATAACAGTAAATAATCTAGGCCCAAGTGTAAAGCGTCCATCTGTTTCCCACACTGCTGGTGCTCTCGTTGGACTCCAGTAAAACAGGAACAGTATATCCGGGCGAGACCATGGCGAGAACAGCCTCAATGAGGGAGAAATCCCAGGGTGTACACACAGAAACTGCTCACCCTCTGTCTCACAAGGAAATCACACCACGTTTTCTGAAACTCTGACATTCATCTCAGCCTCAGAACGGGGCAAGCTCCCAGCGCCTCCGCCATCCCACTCGGACCAACCCCTGTCCAGGACATGGCTTATTAAGTAAAAAGCCCAAACTTCAGGGTTGCTTCTGGTGCCAACAACTAGGACTCAAAAGCAGGGCAATGGCTGGCTTTTCTTGTCCAGCAATGTCCTGGTGAGGGAATGATTTCACAGCCCCCTTTCTGGGGAGCCCCTGGACTTACCTAAAAAGAAATGAGTTACAACAGGATGACAAGGCCACAAAACGAAGCCATTTCGTTTTACAAATCTATTATGTGCTCCAATCTGTTTTACGGGCCTGGTCCTATTATAAGGCAAGAAAAACCGTAACACAAAGTCTTTCTTCTCTTCTCCCTGGCCAGGAAAGACATTTACAGTTTTATGATTGTTGTCTCAGCACTTTTACCCCTTGCCATGTGTGGGTGTTTGGGGTTTTTTTCTTTTGTTTTCTCAGAACCCTCAGGTACCACATTCTGAGGGCTGTAAAACATTCCAAGACAAGAAACTGGACTTTTCCCATGCAAACTGCTGACAACTGTCAGAAACCCTTTGCTGGGACGTGGCTGACTTCAGCTTTGAGGAAGCCAGCTTGATTCAAGGCGGGTGAATCATTTTCAATGCAGAGCTGTTCAGCAGTAATTGGCCAAGGGTCCCTGCTGGGAAAAGCACTTGTCAAATAATACTTGTTTACAAATATATCTGTAGACAGCAAAAAGTGGCAGTTACTGAATAACTTCAGGCCATCTCCACAATTCCCAGTACTGGACATGCTCCAATATTAGAGCCATTTAAATTTCACTTGTTGAAGCACTTGTCACATGTATCCTGCCTGGTCAATGAGACAAATCTCTTTCTACTATTCCCTCTGAATTAATCATAATCATGTTTTTCATGCATACTGTTGGGTCATGGTTTCTTTTGCATGGAGTTTATGCCTAATGTCCAACAACTGGTAACAGGTATTTATCATATAAATTTGTTAGAATTCTAAATTTTTCCTCTTGTTTCCAATTCAACACATTCTACTATGAAAAAAATAAATTGCAGCATCATTTCAAGATTCGTGATAAGTGTCTTTTGTTCAACTGCTAATATCTGTCAGTTAAGCTTAAAATGACTGATTGTCAATTATATATGTAATGTTTATTTCTATCTTCATGATAAATCTTTCCACAAAACGAGTCCTCATAGTATCCCCATATATAAATGCATATACTCATGACAGTTTGAAAACCCAGCATGTACTCCTAAAGACAGACGGCACATTGTATGAGATTAAGCTACTAATGAATTCTGAGTACACGGATATCTTTCTGTCCCTGCCGTTTCAACGTTCCTCCAGAAACAAAAACTAAAAACCTCACTCCTCAATATTTTTAAGAAAATTCACAGTATCCTCTTATAAACAGTTTAATAGAACTTGCTGCTCAATTTATAAGGACACCGATACAGAGAAACAAAACGAATGTAAATTTAAAGACAAACACTCTTATGAAGATGGGAGACTGTCGGGCTGAGATTAAAACCACAGCCACTCCTAAAACTTGATTTTTAATCCAGTGTACTCAGAGACCTGTCACCAAAGGGGCTGGGGACAGCAGGCTTGCATTCAAGTCCTGAGCCCCAAGGGGCAGGTGCTGCCGGGTCAATGTCAGATCCCCTGCACCCCAGCTCACCGCCGCCCAAGCTTTGCTACCCGCTCCACCTGCTGGGAGACAGTGATCCACCTGTGGAGGACAAATCCACAGAAACAGCCAGGCCGAGTCCCACCAGACTGGAGTCTCGTTTGCAGCATCTGCCAGCCAGGCTGTGCACCAACAGCTCCCATCCATTCCCTCCACCGTTCCCCTGAGCTCACACCCCAGGCTAGAGTTCCTGCCCAGCGCCACCCTCCTTTGGATTTCACTCCTCCCTCCCTCCCCATCTCATGCCTCCTGCCCAAGACACCTGGAAGGACCAGAAGATGGAAGAGCCACAGGGAGAATGAAGGAGGCACCAGTGAACGGCTCTGGCCACCCTCACCTGTGTGCCTCCCGCGAAGGCCTAAGAGCAGTTCTAAAGAACCCTGCCCCTGCCGTAATACTCGGGATTTCTCGTGCAAAGAATCTAACACGCGATGCAGCAGTGGTCTAGGGCTTCACAAAACACTTTGACAACTTCATTGAGAAGGGAAAATGCAAATCGCTCGGCTTAAGCCTGGGAGTTGACATTAATAGGCAGGGCGTGAGAGTCAGAGATGTGTACTTCCCTCAGCATTTTAACCCAAATCCGGAGGTTCCAGGCAGAAAGGGCCAGTGTGAGTGATGAGGAGTAGGGGTGGGGGTACTGGGGCGCCCGCTGGGCACTCGGGGGTCTTTGGCCGCCGCTTCATCTATTCACTCTAGCGTCCTCTTCTGCCCAGGGAACTCCAGGAATATCTTTAAGGTTCTGAGCCCCACTGCCCCAATCCGAATCCCTATCAGTCCACGGGGTAGGGTTTTCGGGACCGTTGCGGAGGGGTGCCAGGATGAGGGTTAAGGGGGCAGTTGACCCGGTAGCCCCGACCTCCGCCCCACCCCACGCCCCAGCCGCCAGTAGCGCTGACTGCGCCCCCAGAACTGAGTGAGCTAGACCCTCAAGCTTTCGGGCGGTGGGTTTGGTTTGCGTGGCGGCACGGGAACCGGGCCGAGGGCCCAGCATCTCTCCCGGAGCCTGGGGTGCAAGGCACAGGTGTTGCGCGCGCTCGCCCGGTCCTTCTCTCCTGGAGCGCCCCCAGGACAACCTCCAGGGTTCCCGAAGAACCGGCTGTGCGCTCCGGGACGCCGCGTGAATCACGCAAGTCCCTGCTCTCCCCCGGAGCGTTCCAGCTACAACTTCCCCGCAGCAACACCCCGGCCCTCCGCCTGTCCTATCGTCGCGTCCCACTTTCGCTCTTTCGTCCACATTGGACTGCAAATGTCTTGGAGCACTCCCACACACAACCCCCAAGTCAAGGGCAGCAGCACCGCGGGGCTGCTTCTCCGTTCGCCATCCGAGAAACCAAAGCACGTGCCAGCCAACCACCCCGGAATAGCAGCTGGCGATGCCCTAAATCACTGCGCCCACAGCACCCAGCCACCTCCTACCACGTTTCCTATCACCGTCCTCAAATAACGGTTCCTACAAGCCCCACAGCTCCCAACGTTCCTGTCGCTGCGCCTCCAACACTTCCCACAACAGGCAGCCAGAACTGTCACTTCCCCCAGGCACCCTCCCGGAAACCTAGCCGCACCCAACATCGCGGCGCGGGTCCCAGCCTCCCCTCTCCGCCTGGCTGCCGGGCCCTGTCCCTGGGTAGGTCGGTTGCCCCGCGCCCCGTAGCGCATGTCAAACAATACAGTAGCCTGGGACTGGCAGAGAAGCAACGCCGCGGCCCGAGCAAAGCACAGGGCGGGCAGGCATGGTAAGGTGTAGTCCTGGGCCCCGAGTCCGGTGCGCCGCGACCCACGCTCCCAGGCCCCGCCTCGAACCTCCGCCGCGGGTCGCCGCGGGTCGCCGCGGTCCCCACCCCCATCGCCCTACCTTCGTTGCTGGGGCTGGCCAGGAGGGTCCGGAGCGCGGCGCACAGGAGAAGGCACGTCCAGAGCGGGGCCCTGCGAGGTGCGGAGCAGCAGCCGGCCAGGGATGTGCAAGGGCCGGGGGTGTCGCCGCCGCCGCCCGGTGGCCGCCGGCGTCTCGCGGCGCGGGGCCCTGAGCCCCGCATCTTCTCCCGGCCTCCTCCGCCGCGGCTGTCCCGCGCGCCTCAGGCACGGTGCCCGCGTCGCAGAGGGGGCGGCCGAGGCTGCCGCCGGTCCCCCTCGCGCTTCCCGGGGTCTTCCGCCTTCCGGCGCGCGGCTCGCGGCGGCTGCTCCAAAGGCGGCACGCGCGGGGGACGTGGAGACGGCTCAAGTTTTCGTGGGGTTCGCCGTCCCCTGCGACGGGCTTCCGAAGAGTCCTAGGGGGGAAGCCGGTGCGGGTGTCCCGCGCCCCGCGCCTCCGCCTCTCCACACTTTGTCAGCGTCTTGGAGTGGCGCTGGGAGAGGCTCCTTGCCGGTCCTCAGAGCTGAAACGGACCCGGGCGAGGAAGACAAGTCATCCCAAGTCAAGTCGAAATGCCCACCAGCCTCCACCGAAATGGAAGGGCAGCGAGCAGGGTGGCGAAAGGTCCAGGGAAAGGAGCGGGGATCCCGTAGGCGCAGGAGAACGAGAGAGAGGAGAGGGGCGAGCGCAGGCGACGGTCCCGGGAGCTGGCCGCGGCTGCAGGCGCTGCGGGCGCGGCGGCGAGGCGAGGCGGCGGGCGGGAGCGCCGAGTGCGCCCGGAGCGGCTGCGGCGCCCGCGGCGCGCGGGCAGGCGGCGAGTGCGCGGCCGCCGAGGCGAAGCGGGAAGTGCACGGCCACGCCGCGCTCCTGCTGCGCCGCCGGCCCCCGGCCTCCCCGCGCCGCCCACTCCTCCCCGCCTCGCCGCCCCTCCCCGGCTCCCCGCCCTCCGCCGCTCCCGCGCTCCCGGGTGTCAGCGGCTTAGACGGAGCCCCACGCCCACGGAGCGAAGGCGTCTGCAGGCAGGCTGCCCGGGTGAGTGTTGCCTAGCTGTTTCCGGGCCAGGCGCGTCTTTCTCTCCCCCAACCCCCAGAGGATTGGAGCGAGGCTCCTGCTGACGACGATGCCCGGGAGGCCCGGGGTTCCCGGGAGGCGGCGGGAAAGGCAGCTCTGGCACAGCCGGGAGCAGAGAAACCCCTGGGCGAGCACCTGGCCTGTTGCCCCTCGCGGGCGTGGAGCATCCACAGGGGGGTGGTCGCGTCGCTGCGGATCCGTGGCCAGTTGCTTAAACACCCGCGTCTCTCCCTGCTTCTCTGAGGACTTTTCGGCGGTTGGAATGCAGTAAGGACTCCACCTTGCTTCCAGAAGTAAATCGCCTGGTATCTAAAGCAGAAGTCAGGAGCTCTTTGAGAGACATGAGGATTTGTGCTATGCCAAGTACTCATCTCATGTGATGATCCCATTCACTTACGGGTTTCATATTTTAGAAACTGTATGTCATGCAGATACGGGCCACTAATTCCAGTGAACGTAACTAGGGTCAAATGATTTCAGGCATTTTAGAAATTGGATTATCATAACTATTGTTATAACTGCCTGTGTTATGTTGCACCGAGAGATTTCCAAGTGATTAAGAGAAATAGTTGGAACATTAACGTTCAGTGCTTCAACTATTTTATACCTTCATTTCCTGTACTATTTCCCTCGAATTTACTCTTTTTTTTTTTCAAAGACACGTACCTGGAAGGATTTTATATTGGCATTTAGCAAAGATGGCAAAGAACGCTTCGGGAAAGATGGGATGGTAGAGGGATGACATCTCCCTTAATTTGGGGGTGCAGCAACCACTACAAAGGTTGCGCCCTTCACCTCCCCCCGTATAGCCTGGTCGCCTGGCCAGCTTGGAATGCCCAGGCCCTTCTGGAATGCATCTTTCACTGTCCTTAGCGGATGACATTGGGTTTTTTTTTTTTTTTTTTTTTTTTTGTCTAAATGTTCACAGTAAAAATGAAAGGAGAAAGCAACAGTGATGCAATTTTGTGACGAGGTGGAAGCCCAGCTTTGATTTTTCTTTTTTTTTCCTGAAATGTTTTGGCACCAGAAATCTGAAAACAGCTTCTTTGTATTGTGATGGGCTCCAAATGCGTGAGGCACATTCAGAGCAAAGGCAGGGGATCCGTCTCCCAGTTTGGCAAAGAGCCTCACAGTGAAATGGAAAGTTAAAATTTATGTTGCTATTTGAGGACCGTTCAAAATGGAAGCCTCCCTCCTCCCCTAGATAGTTGAGTTACTTAAAAATATCGAAGCAGAATACTAAGTAACACATCTATAGCCTAGGAATCTGTAATACAGTCACGGGAGGCAGAAGGTTCCTTCTGCAGGCCTCGGTTTTCTCATCAATTAAGGGAGGGGTTTGCAAAAGATGAGCTTAATTCCATATTCTTTGCATTTTTGTGTTACTCTCCTGCACTTCTCTCTTCGATTTTTTTTTACTACAAAATACTCCAACTTCTTCAGCCTGAAATTTCAAACACTTTGTGCTACAAAAAGCTTCTACGAATTGTGAATTTTGTTTCACAATAAAATTTCCAATTCGGTGATCCCCTAAAGTCAAGGGGGTTTTATATGCCAGTGCAAGTTACAGAAACTCTGTCACCCCCAAAATATTTAACATCTGCCCCCTGGGCTCCCCAGTGCCCTCCTCTGTGATACCCAGTGCCCAAGGAGAGTCAGCTATGCAAGGTTAATGCTTTTTTTCCCAGAAAAAAAAAAGATTTAGATTTCCTCCTCCAAATATTGTGCCTTATGAATTATGTCAGTCTACATAACGCCAAAATTCTGTGAATGACATACTGGTGGGGTTGTGCACATATATATCGTGTATTTATTTCTATGTACAAAAAGAATTTAAATCAAAGCTATCAAAGAAACCCTAGGACCCCATCCATGTGAGCTCCAAGCCCAGATCGCTGCCTTGTTAAATGATTAAGAATCAGTAATGCAACAGCCTTTTCATTTTTCCACTGTCGGTGCCAGCCCTAGTTCTCCTAGCTGTTTAGCAGCATTTATTGCAGACCTTTGCAACAGTCAGCTGCTGCAAGACGAAGCCCCAGTGGTGGCAACCGAGGTCAGTGTTTGGTCTAAGGAGGGTTAATCTAAGAAGGCACTGAGAATGTCTCCGGTGCACCTCAGTGTCACAGGAGACATTGCACTGGCCGTGGCTTAATCTGGGCTTGTAAACCCTCTCGGTGCACCTGCAGGACCTTGGCATTGACAGACACGACAGATTTTTTTTTCTCCCTTTTATACTCACCGCTTTGCATAGACAGAGGTTGTGGTTCAGTGTTGAATGGGTTGTCCTAGCGGGTGCTTTGGCCTTAATGCCAGGAAGTACCTTAGGTGCCAAACTTCCTACAAACGAGGGCTATTCAGAGGAAGCTTGATCAGGCATCTTGGAAGCTCACTCACTACTGTTGTAAAACACTGTGCTGCAGTTAGCTTGAAAATATTAAGAAACCGGAGCATCTCTTCACTGCATTCAAAGTGAGACTACAAAGTCTCACAGAAGACTGGCCGGTGTTTGCTAGAAGTCTGCTATGCCCAAAGCTTTCGGGGATGTTTCTAGAGCAGGAATTTTAGTTAATGCTGGTGTATCAGCCACATTGCAACTGGTGCCCTGTGGTGGTAATTAAGGAGATGAGGCAAGGTGACCTGAGCAAGCTCACAGCTGGCTCGAGGTCCTGGCTCTATTTAAGACAATTCTAATGTATTGGAACTGAACACTAAAGTTGAGAGTTGATTACCTCAAAATTCTGCATCAGTGAGACTAATAATACATTAACATTTTCCACTTTTTCATGTTCGTTTAAATCCACGAGTTACTGAACAAATAGTAGAACACAGAGCAAATATGTAAGAGAAAACAAGAAAGTAAGCATCATAAATACATACAACTTGAGTCTCATGCACAAAATTGTGTACTTTTGTGCACAGTGGAAGCAGCAGATCAAATCGAGGTACTAACAGGAGTGAGGTCTGTGATCAGATAGATGGTTGGCACACTAACAAATGGCCCCAAATTCAGGTCATTCATGGTAATACACAGAAGCCGTCATCTTTGTAAGAAGTAAATAGGACTCCATCAAACCCAGAGCATTTTGCCCTAAAATGTCATAAAATAGCAGTTTTTACATCGATGCTTTAGCTGTTTATCATATATAATTGCATTCTCTCTTTGGGAATATTTGATGAGAAAGCAAGCAAAATCGTAAAATTTTAACCCCAAATAGGTTGTTATAAGATGCTCTAGTGAAGCTGTCATGTGCCCCAATGAATCAGTTCTTCAGGTATGTGATTTCTTAAAGAGGATTCATGTTTGATGACGTAGCTTTGATAACTATTTTTATTCCAAAGGTAAATGTTGATGAAAATTTAGCCACTGAATTTTGGACACAAAACAAATTGTTGTAATTTTTGTCTAGTAAAATTTTGTTTCATGAAATACAAGAATCCCTTCTCTCATGTAATGACCCATATTTTTACCTGTCAATATAAGATTAAATTTTAGACTAAAATTTATGCAGAAATCCCTTGGGTATTATTTAGTTTTAAAATAATTATTATCATTTTGATGAATTAATGAGAGTTTGAGATTATACATTATTTTATTTCAAATGTATTGAGTTTTTTATTCATTGGACCTCCCTACAAGTGCTTCTATAAAAATCACTAGTATTTTTCTGTTCTATATGAACACTGAGGACAGACTGAGATCCTCACAGCGCTCATGATTATTAATAGGAAGGTTTGTGGCAAAGAAGGAAGAACAAGATGTTCAAATAAATTATAGTGAGCCAAAGAACCGTAGTGGTTGTCAGCGTTGGTTCATGCCTTCCCCATTCCTTTAACGATTCCATATGACAGACATCGCAGTAAGCATGCGTCGAGGATGCTGTCGCTTACAATGAGCCAACTTGATTTGCCAGAAAGTTCTGTGGTCATGATGTGTCCCCAGCATCTTGGACAGCAATCGCTGCGTGTGAAAGTGTGGTCACTGAAGCGGTCAGAACTCTCAGGACTGAAGAAGTAGGAAAACTGTACACAGAGTCCCATGATTCAAGTGGCACAAGTGTGAGAATGCAGCCACCGCCTCTTCTAGCCTGTCTTCAGGACTCCGGAAGCACTTGCCAAAAGGCTAAAA